TCCTTTTGGGGTATGCTCTGCTGGCTCCAACATTTGCCGCAATGGCCGCCCCAGTTTTCCTCTTAGGTCTTCACCCTTCCCTCTCTTTCATTATTTCCCCACTAAAACACACGGTGTGACCAGAAATAACCATGAAGGAAGGGGAGAGTCGTGCAACAAGGGTGAGTGCCAAGGAGGTGAAGTCGGAGTCGGAGAAAGGGGAGGTGACGATGCAGGACGAAGGCGAAGCAGGGGATGCGTTGGTGGCGGTGGAATCCATGGCACCGACGCAGATCGACGTGAGGATGGACGTGACACTCCTCCACTGCCAGGGCTGCCTCCTCCCACTCAAGCCCCCCGTGTTCAAGGTTATCTCTCCTCTCACACCAAAGCGACCAATTTTTTTGAAAGAACAAAAAAAACCTCTTTCTATATCTTTTTGAGAGGATTCCTTTGAGATCTTCGGAAGATGACACATTTATTTTATTTTCACGTGGATGCAAGACATTTGTTATCTTCTTCATCTATATTGTGTGCATCGCAATGATGCAGAGACCAAACGTTATACTGCTTTTGTTAAAACAAACTTGCGTGTGGTTGCGTTTACTGTGGCAGTGCGATGCCGTAGGGCACGTAGTATGCTACTACTGCCGTGCCGGGCACCGCGTGGTCTGCAGCCGTGCCAACACCCACTGCGGCCAGCTGGACAAGGTGGTCGGCGCCGCCAAGGTGCCATGCCCCTACAAGGCGTTCGGCTGCGAGCGCTACGTGGTGTTCCATGAGGCCGCGGACCACCAGCGCGTGTGCCAGTGCGCGCCCTGCACCTGCCCGGAGTCTGCATGCACCTTCGTGGGCTCCCGTGCGATGCTGGTCGACCACTTCGCCACCCATCACCAGCGCCCCGCCGTCACGGTCCGCTATGGCCGGTCTTGGAGCCTGAGCTTCTCCCTGTCGCACAGCTGGCACCTGCTCGTCGGGGAGGAGGACCGCAGCGTGTTCCTCGTCTCCCTCTGCCCGCTCGGTGCGGGCACCGCCGTGTCACTGATGTGCATCAGGCCGGACAGCGAGGCTGAGACGGGGCCCTGGTTCTGGTGCAAGCTCTCCATTGAGCGCCGTGGAGGCGACAAGGACTACGACCTAGTCCTCATGACCTCGGCGGTGATCAGCAACGCGCTGTCCACGGGCGCTCCACCGTTGTGCCAGGGGATGTTCTTGGTGGTGCCCCAGGAGCTACTCTCCGGCGACACACTCACGCTCACCGTCCGGATCGATCTGACCCCACCTGCCGTCGTCGCTCCCAAGTCAACTACTACACCGCAGGCCAGGGCGCCGAGGAGGATGCAGTGAAGTAAGTGTTTGATCTCCTTCATGTTATGGATGATTAGTGCAGCTAAGTTAGATGATTAGTATGAATGTATGACTAGAGGCTAAACCACACATGTGCAAGCTAATCAACCCAATCAATCAAGATTATGGTACAAGTTCAGTACTAATGCAACTAAGGAGCTGGGAAGGATTACTACTGGCTATGGATGATTAGTGTGAATGTATGATTATTCTGGCATCTGATGGTTAAGCTGTGTTTAGGCAATATCAGTACTAGATCAGTTTTGACTCGGCAGCAATGCAGCCAATATTTTAAATAGCGCGCTACAAAATATAGCGAGGCCCTTCTCTAAATGCTACACAAGTTATAGCGCGTTAATAGCGTGCTATATTTCAAAATAGCGTTTGCAAAAAAAATTCAAATATATCTAGAAATAAAGTATTTAAGTAACTAAATTTTTCATAGGAGCAAGCAATATATACATAAGGGCCAAATCCAGCACATAAAAAGGAGTGACAAAGGGATGAGAAGTGAGAACTAGGGTTAGCCGGTTAGGTCTCGTGGGAGAATCTGATAAAAGGAGTGAGAAAGCTAGTGGTCGTGGGTTGGTTTTGGCCTGCTGGGCCTGCTAGGCTGTGCTTATTTCAGTTTTGCATGGTAACATTACAATGTTACAACGTCATAGCGTGTGTAGCGCGCTAATTACGCGATTAACGCCGTAGCGTCTGATTTTGCCAAAATGTAATGTCTCCCTTCCAAATATGATATAACTGTGTTATAACGGCAAAATAGCATGCTATTTAAAATATTGAATGCAGCTAAGCAATGGTAGTAGCAATATGTAGCTAAGCAAGGGTAGGAATGCTTCGCCCTTTGTTCTGAACAAATGGCCTAAATAGTGGTAATGCAGCTACTAGTTTGTATTTGATCTGAGTGTAGTGCAACCAATTGAAGTTAATCTGAAGATCCTGCACCAGAATTTATTCTGTTCTTTATAACCTGCAGCAGAGTTTGTATGGCAAATTATACATTTTGTGAACCGTATTGTTCATGTTCAGATTCTTCAATTTTTTGTTCACATGAAAGGAGCTTCTATAAATCATTTTTTTCAGTTTGGCATGAATAAGATGCATGTAAATGTATCCTTCTGAAAAACTAACATTATTTTTTTTCATTTTTATATCTGAGATATCTTTTCTTTTGTCTGTGAGCAAGCTGGACCTTATGCTCAAAGAACCTTAAAGTTCAACCGAAGATGCCATTGTGGACAGAGTCACATTTCAAAGAGTTTTCCCCCCTCCCGGGTCAAGTTGTGTGTTATTATCCATAAAACTGGGGACAGAGAATCATGCTTATTTTCAAGTTTGTATTCATGCTTCACATAAATCCTGGTGTGTTTTGATGTAAACCTTTTGGCATTCGGTGACTTGGAACTTTTATGTTTAATAAAGTGGTTGTGTGCATCACATGATGCAGAGGCCGGGGTTACCCCTTTCTGAAGAAAAAGAAAAGATGAACAACAGTTGTGTCCATTGTCCAACATAGTGTCGGATATAAGCTTTGATTTTTTTGTTGTAATTCATTTGTGAACACAAGTAAAATGTAGCTTTCGCACACCAAACCATAAGATTATTTTTGATTTTTTTCACAATGCAATGGGCCTCACAAATTCAGTCCAACCTCCAACCTGTTGGTTACATTGCAGCTACTACTTAGGGTGTGTTTGGCAGCCTGCACGAAGGGTGCATGAGCCCAAAAGTTCTCCATCGAACCCACTTTTCGCTGTTTGGTAGGGTGCATGGGCTCTATTGAGCTATGCTCAACCGATGCAAAAAAGCACCTCAGCTATGCTCAACCCAGCACCCCCAGCGAGGCAAGCCGGGGTCAGCGAGGCTGCCTTCGACCCACCGCTCCCTCGAACAACCACTCCTCCCGAACCCCACCTCTCTCCCTTGACCTCATTTTCTCTCGTGACCCCAACCCCCTCTCTCTCTCGCACAACCCGATGGCGGCGCCGCCGCCGCTTGTCTACCCCGCCGTTCGCCGGTCTATGCCGCCGCCGCCGCCCAAGATCTTCCGATCTACCTCCCCCTTCCCCCGCCCCTGTTGCTCAGTCAACTCGCCGTCGCCCCTCTTCAACGTCGCCAGAG